GAGGACTGCCTGTGGTACCTGGACCGGAATGGCTCCTGGCATCCGGGCTTTAACTGCGAGTTCTTCACCTTCTGCTGCGGGACTTGCTACCAGCGATACTGCTGCAGGGACCTGACCTTGCTTATCACCGAGAGACAACAGAAGCACTGCCTGGCCTTCAGGTGAGCTCCTGCCACCTCTCCCAGATCCCCTTCATCCTCTCAACAGGCTTCCTGCCTCCTCCCTTTGTGCACCTCCACATTCTTAGCTCAATGGAGTCACCAGGACTTCAGCTTGGAGACACAGTTGGGTGGTCCTGATGTGGGAGCTCCAGAAAGGCATGTTAGTGACCATCACAGCCTTGGGCTGGGGTGAGTGTTTCAGGTTCCTTCTGGAGCCTCCTCTTGGTCCTGCCGGATCCTGCGGAGCGACTGTTCAGGGTTAGCACCAGAATGCAGTGCAGCTTTGTGGAAGCTCTGGCAAAAGGGCTGGAGGCTTGGGTTTGATTCCCAGGTCCACTTCTTACCAGCCATGTGATTTGGGGAAGACACTTGCCCTCTATGGGTCATTGTTTCCTTTTCATAAAATAAGGGGATTGCCCAAATTAATGGTTTTCTTTTTTGTGATGCTGGAGATGAAACCCAGCCTTGAGCCTAAAGCACTCTACCACTGAAACCCAGCCTTGAGCCCAAAGCACTCTACCACTGAGCTATTCCTCAGCTCCAAAATTAGTGGTTTTCAAACTTCCTTTTGAAGGTGGCTGCTAATATATAGAACAGATGTAAGGAGAGTGTCTGAAGTGCAGTTAGGGGGGAAAAAAAACAGTCCTAGCTTATATCCTACGGCCTTTTTTACAGCTTAACATGTAAGTCTAATCAATTAAGTTGTAGATATAAAAGTCCTGGGGGAGGGGCACACTACAAGTCCCAGCATGCCTCATATTAGCCAACCAAGCAGCATTGCCTTCTGGGAAGTGGAGGTCCCTAAGATATGCTCCACAAGGATTGGGCAGAATCCCACAAGAAACTCCAAATCTTAGCATGCTGTAGCCCCCTGCTGGCTAGGAGTTGGAGCCTTGTCCTCCTCCTGCAAATGTTGGAAAGTGAGCGGGCCTGTTCTTTGTCTAAAGTCCCAAGACCATAGCAGGCATCGCCTCTGCTGTGATCCTATTTGTTGCTGTGGTTGCTACCACCATCTGCTGCTTCCTCTGTTCCTGTTGCTACCTGTACCGACGGCGCCAGCAACTCCAGAGTCCATTTGAAGGTATGCACAGTATTGGGCAAAATGGACTTGAGGTAGCCTGGGCTGAGTCCCATGGTGGGCACTGGAGCAGTCAAGGATTGGTGAATTTTGTGGTAGTGTATGTTTCTGTGTGAATTCCCCAGGCAGCGTGTAAACCTGGAAATATGCTTATAAACTCATGAGTTCTAGAATGTGCCTGGGGTATGTGGAAATGTGGGACTGTGTCCACGTTTGTGCACATACATGAATATTCAGCTATGCACAGAAGTGCAGCCTGTCACAGTGGGGAGTGCACAGTGGGTCTGTGTAGGCGAGTGACTCAGTAAGTGCACAGAGTATGGTCTATAAGTGGTGAGCATTAATTGGGTGTGCTCCAGTGTACAGTGGTATACATGTCTAAGTGTTGCATGTGACTGCATGTTTGCCCAATCCTGAATGACATGGGGACAGTGACACCATATGGGAGATTGGTGTGGGAGGGAAGGACTTGAGGAAGACACTCTTGGTGGTGCTACAGATGCCAGCCCCCGCAGCTAACTGAGCATTGCCCAAGTAGGGTATTTCCCTGCCTGTGCTCCCCAGTTCATGAGGTCTCTGACACCTGCTTAGGGAGTCATCTTGCAAAATACAGGTTGACTAGCAGCGCCATGCACTCAGCCCCCAACTCAACTTTGTTAAGCAGGGTTTGGGAGGTAAAGGCCACAGGTGGGGTGCTTATCTTGGTTTCCCGGGCAGGGATCAGAGGCTTCTCTTGGGAGGTAGAACTCTGAATGCTGATCCTTGTCCCCCATCTAGGGCAGGAGATCCCAATGACAGGCATCCCAGTGCAGCCAGTATATCCATATCCTTCGGACCCCAAAGCTGGCCCTGCAGCCCCACAGCCTGGCTTCATGTACCCGCCTAGTGGTCCTGCTCCTCAGTATCCACTCTACCCAGCTGGGCCCCCTATCTACAATCCTGCTGGTAAGTAACAATCTGGAGCTCTTGCTCTGCCTGCCCCTGAGCTCTCTCCAGAACCTCCCTGGCCTCTCACTGAGGATTCCCTCTCCCAGATTTCCTCTACATCTAGCTGGAAACCTCCAGACCAGCTCTTCCCTGTGGATCCTCATGCCTTGGGGGGAGGAGGTTTATTTCCTGTCCTCCTATGACCCCACTGACCCACATCCTGTCTTCTTGGTTTTTCAGCCCCTCCCCCCTATATGCCACCMCAGCCCTCTTATCCAGGAGCCTGAAGAACCAGCCATGTCTCTGCTGCCCCTTCAAAGATACCAACTTTGGGAGATGCCCCATCCTGTACCTGCATCCAGCCCTGGGAATGGCACAGGTCTTCTAGTCACCAGGCCCCATACCAAGCCAAACCCTGGGCCCCACCAAGGACAGAGCCCCAGAGAAGTGGAACAGGAGTTGAGTTTTCTAAGCCATGAATGAGGGGGTGAATGGGGAGGGCTTGGTATTGGTGGACTGTTTTTACCAGGGCCAAGGAAGACAGATGAATGACAAGCTGGGTCATAGCCCCTGCTTACAAGTAGTCCCTCTGCTTCCAGGATCCCAACCAAAAAAAGGTGGGGACGCTCTGGTTTGCCCACTTTGGGCTGAGGTGGRGCCATGGGAGGCTCCATCAGTGGCTGGTAGTAGCCCTCCTCTATGGCTGCCCCGCTGGCTAGGGCTCTGGCCTATTGGATTAAAGCTGTAAAGATGTAAATCACGTCGATGACATCCTTGGGCCCATCCACACCTTCCGTTAGTACTGCTGGGCCAACCCTGGCAGAGCCACCCCAGGCTGCAGGGTTCTTTGGACTGGGTCCCAAAGCTAGTGAGGTGGATCTGGCGGCAGCTTTGAAGAAGGTATCACTTGCGTTGCAAGTGTCTGGGGTCAGGCTTCTGGAATATCAGGATACTACCAGCTGCAAAGGCGCCTCCCCTATCCATGTACACATAGATTGAAATTCAGACCCCTACCACTCTCAAACCTTGAGCATGTCTCTGAAGGTCTCCATGCCCCAGTGTCCTCAACTATAAAACCTTATGACTGCATGGCTGTCATAAGGGTGAAATATTATGTAAATGGAACTAAGTCCTGTCCTTCCTTCATGATCAGAGCTCCTAGGACTAGGAGCCAAATGGAGGGATGATGGCATCCATGGGGCTGGTACAGGGTGCTTCTGTCAACTGCTTGGTCATCAAGGGACCCTGAAGATATTGAAGCCAGATTTAAAGTTAGGTAGTCAGTGTAGTTAGGTAAATTGGGCCTAATATCGAGTAAGATCCAAAATGGAGGCCATGTTTAGAATGAATTCTGGGAAAAGTTGAACAACTCTTGGAATGTTAATGAAGTCCGGGAAAAGCCCTAGGCCCAAAGCCCATCCCAAAAAAGTATTAATGAACAGCCCCCAGCAAACTTGAAGATGCTGACTCAGAAGTCCTTCCTGACCAGATTACTTCTTTGGCCCCCACTGAGCCTAAGCARTGAGGGATATGACCTCATTTCTCCTTCTCCCATGAAGGCTGCTTATAAGAAGGAACCTGGGAGGGGCAGTAAGTACTTGGAGCTGTCCATCTTACACTGCTGTGCCCCCGGGGCTCCTTGTGTTCTCAAGACTTTTCTGGTGACAGAATTAGAGAAGGGAAATTTATAATTTTTTGGTTTTTTTTCAAAATAGGAAAAAAAAGGTAGAACCCAAGGCCTCATACATGCTAGGCAAGTACTCTACTACCAAACTGGCCATCCTAGTTTTATAGGGTTTTTTTGTTTGTTTTTGTTTTTGCTGGGAATTAAACACAGGAGCTCATAACCACTGAATTACATCCCAGTCCTTTCTAGTTTATTTTGAGACAGGCTCACTAGGTTACCAAGGCTGGCCTTGAACTGGAAATTCTCCTGCCTCAACCTCCCTGATATTATAGGCGTATGCCACCAAACCTGGCTTATAGCTTTTAATTCAAGTGGGCATAGTGTCAGCTCAGTTTGGCAAAACCACCACCATCCAATGTTCCCTCCTTTTCCTAGTCCCTTTCTCCCAGTTCCTGAAGCTCAGTGTAGCCACAGGCCCTGCTCCCTTGCCTTGCCCCTCAGGCTATTGGACCTCTTCGGTTCTGCAACCTAGCTGGGTTCTGGATAGGGCCTTTGTGCTGACTATGCTGCAGGCCCTCTGCTACCTACATACTCTGGGGAATTACCTCTTGTCACACAGCCTGAAAGGCAGGAGTTCCTGAACTAGTGCTTTGGGGYCAGGGTCTGAGATTTGCTGAGACAGAATTCTGCCCCCACTGCATTCGYAGCTTCCCCATTCAGTGAAATAGTCAAGGATCCTGGATCTGACCCAGACAGGGAGGAGCACCTGATGCTGGTGAGGACAGACCTGGGGCCACAGCTGCAAATCTGCTTTTGTTCTGAGAGTGGGGCCAAAGGGTGGCTCTGGGTCCACAGAGTGGTTCTGCCTTCATACTTCAGGAGAGAAGATGACCAGGTTATTGAGGTTTGGAGCCTAGGTTCCTCTGTTCCAAAGCTGGAAGGAAGAAAGATGTGCCTGATAAGTATTCTGAGTTTCCAAGAGAAATTGGTGTAATTTATGTAGGCCATAATTACAGAATTAATTATCCTTGAGTCAACAGCCCAGGACAATGCGCAGTTATTTTGTGGTCTAGAGTCGAGGCAGGGAGAAGGTGTGGAGCTCCCCAGTTTATAGTTAACTTTGCAAYACACTAAAAGTAAGAATTCTAAGAAAAAAGGAAAAGCCCTGACAGTGGCTTCTACATACTCTGAGCAGAGGACCCTGTCACATACCAGGATGCTTTAAATGAGGGCAATACTCTCCCAAAGTATATCTCTCCCAAAGCATGCTAATCTCTGACTCCATCTCCTGGGGCTCACCATMAGGGGAGTAGGGAAGGCCCAGTAGGGCAGAGTGAAGCCAGGAGCTGTCACTGTCCCTTCCTGTCACCTTGTTCTTCAGCTAGCACCCCTGAAAACCAGTCAGGCACCCTAAAAAGGCAAGAAGGATTGGGGTAACCCCATAGTGTAAATAGGATCTTGCTAGGTTGCAAGGGAACACTGAGCATTCTAAGATGGGCAGGTCTAGGAAGCCCAGATGAAGCTTTTTTACACAAACCGTGTCTGGATCTAGCATACCCCAGGGTTCAATCCCCAGTATAAAAAAATAAAATAAACAGAAAATGTGGCATGAAGCCCTGGATATGATCACCAGCTCTGCAGAAAACAAAACCACAAAATCCCACAAAGGAACAACTTGATCAGGGAAGCAGAGCTTGAAGGGGGCTGGTAGTGAAGGAAGGCAGAGCCGGTAAGGGAAGAGGATCCAGGGGGCTGGAGGTGGGAGCCAAGAGGTTGCGCAGGCAAGGCCGGGCTGCCAGGGAGGCACTCAAGGGTCCTACTTAGGGCTGACTTCAGAGGCTYCGGCAGAGAGCTACCAACGGGAACCACAGTGTATAGCACTCCAGCCCCTGAGGGGCGGTYTTGGTCTTCCAAAAGCACGATCCTGAGTGAAACTTGCCCAGAACTTTTGTTTCTTGAAGAGGGGTGAGTGAGGAGGAGATCTGGAGTGAGAGAGACTGGAGCCGGGAGCCTCTGGAGCTCCTGTGACAGTAAGTCTGGCAAGAGCCTCGGCAGGCCCCAGGTGCCTGTCCATGACTAGGGCCAGGCTCTGGAGTTTCCTGGGGACCGAAGGTAGGTGGGAAGGGCACTTTTCCTGCAGGGATGAGGCCAGACAGGGTGGGACCCGGGCCGTAAGGACTAAGCCAGAGGAGCAGGAGAGCTGGAAGGGGAACCGCCAGAAGTTGATGGGGGCGGGCGGCGGCGTCCAGGGTATTCCCACGGGGACTGCAGGCTGACTCTGCAGTCGTGGCTTCTTCTAGATGTATGCATGATGGACTGGTTGTCAGGAGAACTGGGTTTGAATCCGGATTCATCATCTTGGACAAGTCAATGCTTTCTTTGAAGCTCATAATCTGGATTAGGATAAAACATCTCTGGCTCTTTCCCCCTGGGTTTCAGGAAGGAAAAGCCAGCAATCCCCCGACTCCCTGTGAAGCCAGCAAACCCCTGACTCCCAGTGCGAGAGGAGCAGGTGGGCGGCGGTGCGAACAGGTCCTGCAGAAATGCGTCCCGGCGAGTACCGTCCCCTCTCCCACAACAGAACAGGTCGTGAGTGCCCGCGTCCGCTGCGTGCCTAGCGCTCTCCTTTGGCCCTCCAAGACCGCGAGCAGAGCCCCTGAAACAGTCCCCTAGGGTGAGACAGGCTCCCAGTCCCATCTGCCCTTCTTTTCCTGGCCCAGGTAGCCTCCTCCAGGTCCCCAGAGCACCTAGAGGAGCAGCGGGAGAACGTGGGAAGCTGTCTACCCCCAGATGGCGCTGTGCCCCCGCATCAAGTTCAGAGGCACCAGAGAAATGATTACATCATCCCAGGCCCAGGCAGGATCCCCCAGGAGGGCGGAGGAAGGGAGTAGGCTTCTCCTCTGGCTAAACCGCGTTCAAGGTTTTTAGAAAGGGCTCTAAGGTGACAGGTTCTGTTGAAGCCTGAAGATTTGGAGATTGTTTGGTTCTGTTAGGTTTCAGTGCTTTCCTGAGGCACCATCRCCAGTCTCATCTCAGTGGGGTGGGGGTAAGCAGGAGGATCTGTTATGAGAAGCAGCTCTGAAGGCTCAAGACCTGCGCCCTCTGCCTTTTGCTAGTTGTGTGATCATAGACAGTTAATCTCTGTCTCAAACTTTATCTGCAAAATGGAGAGAACATGAGTATCCACTTCACAGAGTTGAAGGATAACCGGAAAAATACAAAGCATCTAGCTAGTGAACATAACCCAGCAGGCATAGGGGGAAATGGCTTAGCTTCAGCTCATACCTTCTGAGGTAGAGTGTACCCTGGGATCTGGTGTGGGTGCTACTCCCTGCATGGTCCCTCCACTTCCCTTCCTGGGCCTATGACTGCTGTAGGGAGCTGGCTGTGAGCCCAAAGTTGGGAAGAGTCATGGAATGAGCATCCCCTGAACTTGCCTAATATAGCCATCTAGGGCCCCAAGCTTGGCTCTGCCCTGTTACCCTGAGACCAGCTCTGGAACTGAGTCCAGGCAGGAAGCCTTATTCAGAAGCACACCCAGGACAACTACTTTGGAGGTCCTGCACCCAGAGCTTAGGTTTTCCCCCATGTGATCCTTTAGTGGTGGTAAACTGAGTTTATGGTCAACTTGTACAGTGAGGCAGGGAACCTGAGCTTCTAGAGCTTTCCTGGGAGCCCTGGGTATCAGGACCTGTAGTATATGACAGAGGTGAGACATAGTGACTCTCAGCTAAAGGTTTGTATATATTATCAAAATCTTATGGAAAAACAGATACACAGCTATTTTTACAACAGCAGGTGGGTGTGAGGAAAATGTCTGCTTTGGCATCAAACCTTCAGGTCTGTTCCTTTCCTCTCCTCTGGAGCCCAATCCCACCRGGCACTGTCCATCCAGGCCAGCTGCCCTCTGTGTCCTCAGCCCCTCCTACTCTCCCCTTGGACTCCCATGCCCTGGCTCCCTCTGCCATTGCCCCTCAGAGTACCACTGGCCCAGCAGCTTTGCCCCAAGGGCTCCTCAGTGGCCTGGATCCTGGCCCTGAAGGGCAGTGGGGCTGGATATGTGGTCCCTGGGGACATCTTTCCTGGATCATAGGCCTTTTGAAGCGTGCCAACTACAAAGGGCCTGGGCAGTGCCATCTTCTCCATGATGCACACAAAGAAAAACTCTTCTTGTCCAGAAACCTCAGCTCCAGGCATCAAAGCAATTTTTGGAGAGCCCCAGAGACAAGAAAAGGAAGGTGAGAGGAGATGCAGCGTCCTCCCTTGAGTGTGGCCCAGGCCTTGAGCTCTCCCATGGCAGAACAGGGACAGCCACAGCAGGTCAGCCAGAGTGGTGTGGGCAGGGTCTGTGCAGCCCTGGATGTGAGCCAGGGCTGTCATGGCCTTGGCACCAGAGCCCGGCAGCCTGGTCCTACTGAAGCAGCTTGGGCACTTCCACCTGTAGGGCAGAGAGACAGGTTAGAGCAAGGAGTTTGGCAACTGGGCCTCTGGAATTCATCTCACCTCCCTCCCTTCTGGAAGTACACCATCCCACACCTCTCAATATGTGTCTGTGGGATGAATGTATGAGGTATTGACACTGAAGGAACATTTCTCCTGTTCTGTAACAACTAGACATCAGAGCCCAGCAAATTGGGAGGCTGAGGCAGGAGGATCAAAAATTCAAGGCCAGCCTCAGCAATTCATCAAGGACCTGTTTCAGATTTAAAAGGGGTTGTGTGTGCTGGGGATGTAGCTTAGTGGTAGGTTCAATACCCAGTATCACAAAAAGTTAACAAATAAAAAACCTGGATGTCATCAGATGACCACTAGAATTATAAGTGAGGTTGTCCTTTATCTCATGGTGTCCAGTGGCAAATAATGTAAGAGTAGGATATTCACTCAGACAGGCAAATGACAATGGACTTTGTCATCCAGGGAGGCAGGACTATGAGAARTAGGGTGCCCGGGGATGATCCATGTGTCCATTGCACTGGTTAGTCAAAGGTAAACTATACTGAGGGCAAACCTTTGGGACAGACTGACCCATAGAACTGGGCTGATCCTGAGAGGGGATTACATAAAACCAATATCACTTTTGTTTGGGGAAATGGAGAAAAGGAGACTCGGAGAAAAGGAGACTCGGAGGAAGAAGCCAGGTGCCGTGGTACAGGCCTATAATTCCTCCTGCCCAGAGGATGAGAGGCAGGAGGATCCCAAGTTTGAGGCCAGCCTAAGCAATTTAGCAAGACCTTTTTAAAATAAAAAAGACTGGGGAGATAGCTGAGTGACAAAGAGCCCCTGGGTTCGATATCTCCAGTTTTAAGGGGGAGGGGAAGGAGAAGACAACCTAGAGGAAGAGCCACAGCAACACTCCATGTGTGGAGGCTGCCTCTCCATTAGCAGGAGGAACAGGTTTGATGGCTGGTGAAGGAGTTCCAGGTGTGGAGGGCGGGGCTAAAGGACGCATAGAGTCCCACCTGTAAGGGAGATACAGATGTGGCCTGCCTGGGGGCAGGAGCATGGCTGAGATGACCTGCAGGTCCCGGGGTCTGGGTGCACCTGCAGGAGTGTCTGCATGCTGGCCTGTTATAACTGCCCTCTCCTGTCAGCCCCTGGGCACCCTGCCCTGTGGCCACGCCCACAGCAACTTGCCTTCTTCAGCTGTTTAAGGTTGCTGGAGCGGATGGCGGCCAGGAGCTGGTCACGTGAGTTCTTCTCCTGGGCAGGGAGGACTTTGTCTCCCATTTTCCTCTGAGTGGCTGGGGAGAGGGAGTTCTTCAGGTTCTCCATGATAAGGGGTGGAGCCAGGGGCGGGGGAGGAGGGGGAGGGGCAGCTGGAGCACCGCCTTTCTTTGGGGAGTTCTTTGGAGCAGGCTTGGGAGATGGCTGGGGTGAAGGTTTGGGGGAGCCCTTGGCCAGGGCCCCTCCCTTGGGCACCTCCAGCAGGTCCTTCTTCTCTCCGCTGGCTTCCTGGGCCTGCCTTTGCTCCTGCAGACGCTTTTGTCGCTGCTTGTCCATGTTGCGGCTGAGCAGGTTGGTGACGGTCATTCGGGGCCCGGCAAGCTCAAAATGGTAGCCGAGCTTGAGCAGGGTGGTGTTCTCCTTGAGCAGCTTGGCGATCTCCATCTCCGTCTTGCCCCCGCAAATGTGCCGCTGGTTGTGGAAGCGCAGCTCAGTCAGCGTGTTGTTCTGGAGGAGAGCTCGGAAGATGGCCAGGATGCCCTTGCCCGTGATGTGGTTGGAGTCCAGGTTGAGGCTGGTGATGGTCTTGTTGGCCTTGAGCATGATGGCGATGGCGAAGGCCACGTGGTCGTCCGCGCGCGTGTTGGCCAGGGCGAACACCTTGACCACGGTGTTGAACTCCAGGGCCTCGGTGAACCTGACCAGGATCTCGTTGGTGATGCAGTCCGAGTTGTTGACGTTCACTTCCGTCATCTCCGGGTCGTTGTTCTTCACTCTCTCCAGAGGCTCATCAAAGATGCTGGGGGCCGCTTCCTCCTCCGCCCTGGGGGGCCCCTCCGAGGGTTTGCTGGGGCCTCCAGCGGCCTGTTTCTCGGCTGTCTTGATCTTGCTCTCTTCCTGGGCCTCCTTCTCACTTGGGGACTCCTCCCTCTGGACTTTCTCAACCTCCTTTTTCACGTCCCTGTCCTGGGTTCTTCTTTTTGCCCCCTCCTCCTCCTTTTTCCTGTCTGTGTCMCCAGTGGCTCTTTTCGTCTTCTCGTCCTCCCGTCTGGCATCTGTGCTCCTGCCGTCCCCCTTCACCTTCTCACTGTCCCCTCTCTTGGCCAGCCCCTTCACCTCCTCACTCTTCTTGTCCTTGTCCTTGTCCTTGATCAGGCCTGAACTCCTGTCACTCCGTCTCTTCTCCTCTTCCTTCCTGACGGCCACCGTCTTCTCGTCTCCTCTCCCGTCCTTCCCTGCTTCCTTCTTGTCCACCACAGCCCGGACCCGGCCCTTGTCGATGCCCCTGATCACCTTCTCCTCCTTTGGCTTCTCCCCACTCCGGCCATCAGCTTCCTCTTTGTCTCTGGAGAAGCTTTTCTTTAGTCCGCCCCTCTTTGGCTCCTTTCCCAGGTCTGAGTCCCGTCTGGGGCCCAGGGCCTTGGTGCTGGCATCTTTGCCCCTTTCCTCTCCATTCTTGGCATCGGCTCTGGTCTCCACTTGCTTGCTTTCCTAAGAATTCAGAAAAGAAAAATAAACATGAAGAGCTGGCTTCARTAGAGGAGCGGGTTACAGGACAAGCGAGGGAGCACTTATGCAACTGCCCTTGGGCCTCCGAAGGACACTGGGTGTTTGGAGAGTGACGGGCATGTCCCTGAGAGAATAGCCGAAGTGGGGCTTTGCAGGATTCCAGCTGGAGAGAACGGGCCAGTGTCACACTCCGCCACGGGTCATGAGATGCCAGAAAGAACACCTGCAGAGGTTTGGACCAAGCGCAGTTTCTCTCCCAGAGCATCTTCAGACCCAGGTTTGCCTTTTCTGTCATGGATGCTTTACCCATGGCACCTCTGACCCCCTTAGAAGGACTGCTTCCAACAACGCTAGCTACCTGAGGAAAAAGTGAAAATCACCAACACTGATCCTGTTTTGAATTTTTTTTTCAGTGCTGTAGATTGAACTCAGAACCTTGCACATGCGAGGCAAGCGCTCCTGCTACTGAGCTATATCCCCAGTCCTTTTTCCTCTGTTTTGAGACAGGCTCTTGCTAAGCTGCGGAGGCTAATCTTGAACTTGGAATCATCCTGTCTCAGCCTCCCAAGTTGCTGGGATTATAGGTGTGCGCCATCTCACGTGGCTTCTGCCCCTGCGTTCTGTGCTCAAGTTCACACTGCCTCACACCTAGTCCCAGCCCTGCTGCCGAGGGGAGGTCACTAGTTCTCAGATACTGGAATGTTATAAGCCAGTACATTTACAAAGAAAAAAGAAATTGAAAGAATCGAGACAGGGTTGCTAACATTTTACCAATTAAGGATATTCATAAATTCTACCTAGCATCATCATCTCATTGAAACAAGGAGCTAATTATTAAGAAGTAGGTAACAGACCAAAAGATGTACCTTTACAGCAAATTGCAAAACTCGTGTGTCTCTTCTGAAGTTCCCAGTGTTGTCTTTTACTTATTTATTTATTTATTTATTGCAATGCTGGGGATGGAACCCAGGGCTTGATGCATGTTGGGGTAGTACTCTGCCACTGGGCTGCATTCCCAGCCCTAGTCTTTATTTTTTAGTAAAAATTTTGCTAAGATCAAGCCTCTCCCGTAGGTAGCCCTGGAGTCCACTAGGATTCTGCAACTCCACTTTGACCATGCAGATGTGGGCTGCTGCTTGGGGAGGCTGTGGGATGGAGTCAGGGGAACACAATGGAGGCTTGAGTGTCCACCAGCCACCCAGCACCTCCCTGGGGGAGAGAGGTATTTCTTTCTTCATGAAGTCGAGGAGCTATTTCAAGAGGATCTAGTGCACATCCCCACCACAGGAGCGGAGGAAGCAGCAGATTACCTACGATACGGCATTAAATTTAACTGTCCAACTGGGACTCCAAGGGATGCTGGGAGGATCTTCCTTAAAGGCGCATTGAGAGAGCATGGCCTGAGCCTGGAGGGTTTCTTTAAAGAGAGCCCAGTGGGGTGTGGAAAGAGGGGAAGGAAGAAAGGCACTCCTTGTCCCAGAGGGAATGGGACTGTTTGTACCAGAACCACAAATACATGCCATTGGAGACCGGCCCCTGGGTATTTGGAGAGAAGTCCTCGGCTCTTCTGCTAGACTCATGATAGGCAGCCCAGGGGCCCAGAGCCTGGTGGACAGAGCCTTGGAAAGGGTACTTGTTGCCTCCTTCCTAGAATGCACGGGATTCCGCCTGGAGCTGTGCTGATGGAACAGGGGACCGAGAGCCCCCCCAACTCACTGTGGCCCCCAAGGAACTGAGTTTGCCACTTATGATTGCCCTGAACGGGAAGTGGTAATAACTTTGCTGTATGTAAAGGAGTATGCAAATAGGATGTAAATGAGGAAACCCAATGGGTTTCCTTTTAGGGAACTTTTATCTGTCCTCAGTGTGACCAGGGAATCTCCTCCCCTCCCATGCCACATGCAGAGTGGTTCCATCCACCTGGAGCTTGGCTGTGAGAGCTGATGGCATGGCCCCTAGGCATCATGTCCCAGGGCAGACTTCTGCCTCCCTCTCCTTCCCTTCCCAGAATGTGTCCACAGCAGAATGTCTCAGAGCCCACCAGGCACGGCCCAACCGTCCACTGCAAGTTGCCATGCCTCTCAGTCACAGGCTGYACTGAGAGAAGCTGGGGACCCAGAGAGAGATGACAGCCAATTCCACCCAGCAGGTTCAGGAAAAACTGGGGGTTAGGCTTGATTGTCTCACGAACAGCCACTGTTATGGTTTGGATGTAAGTTGTCCCCCAAAAGCTCACGTGTGAGACAATCCAAGAAGGATCAGAGAAGAAATGATCAGGTTGTGAGAGCCTTAAACTAATCAGTGGATTGATCCCTGGTGGGATTAACTGGGTGGTGGCTGGAGGAGGTGGGAGTTGGGAGCGTGGCCAAGGGGTATGTGTTTTGTATCTGGAGAGCGTGGCCAAGGGGTATGTGTTTTGTATCTGGAGAGCGTGGCCAAGGGGTATGTGTTTTGTATCTGGAGAGCGGGCTCTCTCTCTGCTCCCTGGTCACCACGTGAGCTGCTTCCCTCTGCCACACTCTTCTACCATGATGTTCTGCCTCACCTTGAGCCCTGAGGAGTGGAGCCGGCTGTCTATGAACTAAGATCTCTGAAACTATGAGCCTTCAAATAAACTTTTCCTCTTCTACAATTGTTCTGGTCAGATCTCTTAGTCACAGAAGTGAAAAAGCTGACTAAAACAGCCACCAAGTCAATGTCACTGCATCCGACCTTCCTATTAGGGGCCAAGGCTCCCCCTCCCTGCCTGCCCAGGATCCCTTGGGTCCCCGAGTGCCCCTGCTGTCCATGGGATCTCAGGAAACCTCATCAGGCTCCGAGCTCCCATTCAGAGCCTTCGCTCCGTTCCTAACCAGGGCTTGTTTTCCACATTTGAGCACTTTTCTCCCTTGACATCCCAGGTCCTGACCTCTGCCCTCTGTCCTCCGGTGGGACTCCTTGCCACTCCCTCTCAGGTGCTTCCCCTCCGCTGTGGTCCTGCTTGGCTAGGATCTGCCAAGTGCCTGTTCTGGGGAGGTGTGCCAACCCTTTAAAAAGAACCTAATGAAAAACAGGCCGAGTGGGGGAGGGGGAAAGGGCTGATTAATCATCGGTTTCCTCCAAATAGCCAGGAATGAGTGGGGCTGGGGCTTGTTGCGGCTGGAGCAGCCCTGGGAGCTCAGATGTTGCCTTAAAAGGAGAAGGAGCCCGGAGTCCTCCCTGGCCTGGGATTTCTGTGGGGCGAGTTCCTGGGCCCACAGCAGCGCCGTCTCCTTCAAGCTTATCTGAGAAGGAGTCCAGGCTGACTTCTTTTTGTTTCTAGAACTAGTGGTGCATCCTGGTGACCTCCAGAGGTTATTTTTGCTTGTGTTCCTGTCCGTAGTCTTTAGTTTGTTCCTTATAGCAAAAGGGGTTTAAGTTAGCCATGACAAAGAACTTCCATAGAATGAAAGTTTGTATCCTCTAGATGGGAGACCTAAGTAACAATATCTTTTCCCCCTTGGGAAAAACTGAAGGGGTAGGGAAAGCCCATAAGCAGGGGAATGGAAAGCCTCTAGTGGGGCTGGGCACAGTGGTGCACCACTGGGGAGGCTGAGACAGGAGGATTGGAAGTTTGAGGCCAGCGTCAGCAACTTAACAAGGCCTTAAGCAAATAAAAAATAAAAAGGACTGGGAATGGTCACATGAGTTAGATCCATTTTCAATGCCCCTGGTGGGGTCAATGGGCAGAACACACCATCTTTTTCCTCATAGGGGTCTTCTGATAGGATTCCCTGTGGAGTCTTATCTAACTGCAGAGAAGAGAACAATTTACCACCTCCCTTGCCAAAAGAGCAGAGGAGAATTGTCTATCCAGAGGCATTTGTATATAAAGACATAAAGACAGACAATTGTCTCACTTTTGAGAACTTTCTGCATATAAGAGTCGAAGCCTCTGCGTCTGCGCTCAGCACCCACTCGCTGAACCCCTGCTGGCTCATGCCAACTCCTCCCAGCTCATCTCTTTCCTTCCTGTGACCCAGCACCTGAGGAGGAGGCGTCTGCCCCTCTGAGAGCCATCCTAGCCCAGACAGCTGCCAGGAGTCTGCAGGAGGACCCTAGGCCGTCAGAAGGCACAGGACTTCTGTTTTTGCTTTTGCTTGTGTCCCCTTTCCAGCCACTTGCCYGGGAGAGACAGAGTGATGGAGGGCAGGGCGCCTGCATGACTGTACCCCTCACGTGTGATAACCCCGCTGTGAAGTCAGGCACCTTTGTTTCTCCCTAAAGCAAGACTGAGGTGATACTGACTCAGACGGCACTGGCCCTCTTGTTGTGTCCTGCTCAGTACCTCCAAGGGCTTCTGGCTGGAGGCATCCAGAACGCCCCCAGCTGGAACTCCAGGCTGGATGCAGGGCTTCAGGTCCCCAGCTCRGCTTTTGGTAGACCCTCTTCCCAGGCCTTAGCTGCCATTGTCCCTGAGGACATTGACAGGCTCCTGCGTGTGGATCCAGAACTCACTAGAAAATGCATTTCTACCTTGGTGGTGGCCTGCTTCTTGCTTCCCCCAGATCAAGGTCACTTTTAAATGGGACATCTCCTAGTCCTGCTCCCAACGTGCTGACCCCTTGCCACCTGTCCTTCCTGGTCTTGCACAAGATCCCACTCCCCGGCTCTTCTCAAGAAGCTGTCCCAGCAGGGGGCACTCCCTCCCGCCACCTGGTGACCTCCTGGTCTCAGGAACTTCGGCTGCCAGTGTCATCTGTCTGCACAAGGGAGGGCTGGGAGGAACTGGCCACAGGTCCCCTGGGAGAGCAGCTCGCTTTCAGGGCTGGTGTGAAGGGCAGGCAAGCAGACGAGCCCCGACTGGTGGGGATCAAGGGAGTCGTCCCCCCARTCTCCTGCCTCACTCCATGTGACTCTTCTTTCCACCAAGAAGAAAGTTTCTAGATTCTCCTAGCAAGCAGTTTTGGGAGGGTCCACGGCTGTTTGGGGAAATAGCATCGCCAGGGCTGGCAGTCTGGGAA